GTAATGTTGTGCTGCTTTATTTGGTTAATCGTCCAGTCTGAAGAAGGAATTCAAGTAAGAATTGCATTGTAGTATGACTCATTTCCTGTCGCGTACAATTTATATTAGGTCAGCATTCACGGTTCGACTTCCGATATTCAGATCGAGTTCTAGGTCAAACTGGTTTGTTCGACTTTCAAGAAATTCGAGTTCTAGTGAGTTCGAGAACCGAGGTACCACTGTACTGTCTTTGCAGTACATGCTTAACAGGGCTGGCCCATAATGCATCTCACACTCCATTTGCTGGGTCCTTGCTGCTGCTGGGCATGAAATGGACAGATTATGGGATCAGTGAAATCAGGCAGATCCAAAAAGCTGACAGCTAGAAAAAGAATATTGACTTACATAAGAACTTCTGGCTGGTTGTCCAGGTTGGCTGATTAACTGCAGTTTTTTCTGTGTTTTTGGCTGGACTGAAGGTTGTACCAAACCTACTTCGATGTCCCAGTGTGTGACGGCAAAACTCGGGAGCGCCTCTTCCTCATTGGGGACTACTCTTCTTCAGCCGAGTTCTTCGTCACTGTCGCTGTCTTCGCCTTCCTGTACTCTCTGCTGGCCACAGTGGTCTACATCTTCTTCCAGAACAAGTATCGTGAGAACAACAGGGGACCTCTCATTGTGAGTGGAAGCCTCTGGCGTGGAGCCGTCGGTGGTCATGGGGGGGCGCGGGGGGTGGACTTTTTAGGGTCTGCATGTCTGTCAAGCATGAAAATTGGAAGCTGCCTGCGGTTATACTTCTCTGTTCAGAGGAGGCTTTGTGAAGCTGGGATGAAGCAGCTTTCAGAGGTTTAAATGTTCAGCAGACTTCTGCCCATCATTCGCCCCACACCAGGGTCACATGGGTATGATGTCTGAGGAGCAGTTATAAGAGCATTACCCACTGTTGAGCATTACAGGTATACGAGCATTACAGGTATAGTAGCATTACAGATATAAGAGCATTACAAGCTGTTGAGCATTACAGGTATAGTAGCATTACAGATATAAGAGCATTACAGGTATAAGAGCATTACAAACTGTTGAGCATTACAGGTATAGGAGCATTACAGGTATAAGAGCATTACAAGTATAGGAGCATTACAGGTATAAGAGCATTACAGGTATAAGAGCATTACAAGCTGTTGAGCATTACAGGTATAGGA